AGGCTCCAGGTGAGGCTGTCCCATGCAGACCCCCATTCTCACTACTTCATCTGGAAATTCCAGGGACTAGTCTAGATCTGCTCTGTTCTAGAAGCCCTTGACAGGAACTGGAGCGCATATTCCTGTCAGGTCTAGGAAGGAAGGAGCTGTAGTTGTGAGGAATGGGTTTGACATGAATGGATGAACCTAGGGAATTCACACTTGAAGGGACATGGGTTCTCTGGAGGAAAATGTACCTTCCATCTCCAGTTTTTATGAAGACCAAGCCCCCACTTTGTAAGGTGCAGAGCACTCTAGGGTTTTGAGGTCCCCTTGGCTGCTGAGATCATTTAGAGTCCCCTGGTTCCTATTGCTCTGATTTGATGAGAGAATTTACAAAATTCTTTATTATGGGGATTCAACGGGAAATACAAACTCACAGGACAAGATGAAATACAGGACAAGATGAAAACTGCTATGGACCCAGCTGCTGTGTTTTGCTGTCTGTCCTGGGTAATTGTAATTACCCACAGGGCTTGCTTCTGCTTTGACCTCCTAAAGAGGAAGCGATTGCCCCCCCTTCCTTATAAGAGGTCATGTCTGCAGACAAGATGCCATGACCTATGGCAAGTACCCCAACTCTATTGGCAGAATTATTTCCCACAGCAGTTCCCCTTTTTGTCTAAATAAGAAAGTTCTAAATCTAATACAAATCTATATACAAGAAGAACAATTATCAAATATTGTCCTGGAGAAAGAAATGGTAATCACTTACATTTAAAAATGGAACTACAACCAAAAAGAACAACATTAAGCAAGAAACACACACTAAATGTCCAGGAAATTGGTAATAGGCAAATAGCAGAGATAATTCCAATTGCTACTCTATCCTGAAGAGTTGAAGTCTTGTACCTAATATGCCTTAGCTAAGATATGAGACTGTGACTATCTAGTCTTCAACCCCATTAAAAACCAGAGAAGGAAACTAATATAACCGAATAAGCAGGAAATGCAAGCAAGCACCTTCCAAAAGATGCAAGAAATGACAGAAACAGTCATTCAGAGAACCCATGTCCCTTTAAGTGTGAATTCCCTAGATCCATCCAGTCATGTCAAACCCATTCCTCACAACTACCTGGACAGTCATTCAAAGTCTCTCTGTAATTTTGGGGCAACCAAGTTTGGCTAAAGGCCTAGAATATGTGACAGACCATTTTCAGAAGCAGGAAAAATTGAAAAGACTATCCTACTCAGTCTTGATAAGGTCCAGCAGTTGCTTTTCCTTGGATCCCGCTTACTCTGAGCAGTGGAGGCCAGGGCAATTCTTTTCCCCACAGGCCAGTTTTGCCAAGGAGAAAACAAGCTCCATATGGAGTTTCTCTGTTTCCCATCAAACTCTCTGGAACAGCACAGTGCTGCCAACAGCAGTCATGTCTCACGTCAACTGAGTCCTAACTTATTAAAACACTTCAATGCCATATTCTGTGGGTCTTTGAAATGTGTGAAGATCATCTATCTGTGCAGAATACATCTCTGTGCATCTAGAGAATGTAAATAACATAAGTATGACAAATGTGGGTGACGATTGACATGTAATTCTCAATAGCCTATATAGCTTAAAGACCAAAGCTCACATTATAAAAATAAATCTTTAAACAGATGTGCAGTGTGAGGACAGTGACCTCACAATGGTAATATATAAAATATCTTAATTGGAGGTAGAAGTGTATAGTGCAATGTGACAAAAACATTCTCAATTTGTATCAATATGTAAAATATCTTCAGTAAAAATAGGCAAAAATCATGTAAACAGAAATAGGAACATTCTCTCTCTCTCTCTCTCTCTCTCTATATATATATATATATGTATATATATATACACATATATGTGTGTATATATAGAGAGTGTGTATATGTATGTATATACACACACACATTTAAACAGAAATAGAAACACATACACAAATATAATTTTGAATTTGTAACAACATACACTTAGACAGGAATCCAAAATTAATTTTACAAACTTCTCTCTGGCTTGCTCCCCTGGCTTGTTCACCCTGCTTTCTTATAGAACGCAAAACCACCAGCCCAGGGATGACACCACCCACCGTAGACTGAACCCTCTCCCATTGATCACTAATGGAGAAAACGCCTTACAGCTGGATCTCATGGAGGCATTTCCTCAGCTGAGGCTCCTTCCTCTCTGACAACTCTAGCTTGTGTCAAGTTGCCACAAAACCAGCTAGTCCCAGAAATGAAGGGACATTTGTGCTCTAAAGGCTGAAGGTCTGCAGTGGCTGTCAACCTTCCTAATGCTGTGACCCTTTAACCCTCATGTTGTGGTGACCCCAACCATAAAATTATTTTCATTGCTACTTCATAACTACAACTTTGCTACTGCTGTGAATCGCAATGTAAGCATCTCTTTTTTGATGGTCTTAGGTGACCCCTGTGAAAGGGTCATTAGAAACCCAAAGGAATCGTGACCCACAGGTTAAGAACTGCTGGCTAGAAGTTGGGCTTAATAAGGTGTACATCTTACAGACAGCCAAGACTACAAAGGGAACAAATGAGGTGGCTTTTTGTAGCATCTGAAGAGGAAGAAGATGAGGAAGAAGGGGACAAGGGAGAGGAGGAGGAAGCCAGAGAGAGGGTTGAGTCCGTAAACTACTAGCAGCCCAAGCATAAAAACTTGAGCTCAATTTCCACAACTGTAAATGCAATTCTTAATTGGTCTAGATAATTTAAAAATCCGGAGTCAGATATACAGGCAAATGCTGAGAGATCAGAGAGAAGGAGCAAGCCTTACCTCAGTGTCTCAGCCGATAAGAGCGGTTTCCTGTTTCTCCGTGCTTATACCCTGTTTCTGCCCAGCTACCTCACTTCCTGTCTGTCTGTACAGACCTCCAGACCTCTATGGTTAGTTAGTGGCAAGCTCTAGTCTCAAGAAAGATATTAATACACACAACCCTCGTAGAAAAGTTAAGTGGGCTGTTGTCCCTGATCTTTTGATCTCATGCTGTTAGGGCAGAGGCTAGCAGACATCTGGGGCTCACTAGCTGGGCAGTGACTGCTAATCTAGTGAGAGGCCAAACTTTCATAATTAATAGTAGGTCTCAATGTGGTCATTTGGGATCTCACTGGTGAGACAGAAAAAGACTTGAGCCCAACATCCAGCCTGGGAGTAGATGGAGGGCTGGGATGGGGTATGATGGGGGGCATGGGAGGACAGGAGGGGGGATCTGGGATTGGTATGTAAAATAAGATTGTAATTTAAATAAAAATTTATGTAGAAAAAAAAGATTTATCTCACTGGATCAAAGAACTCTGCAGGTACTCAGTAAAGACAGGTCCACACAGAAACAAACTCTAAACATCTCAGACTACTCCAGCTAGACCTCAGATAAGCCCTACATTTTCCCATCATACTGAGGCTAAACAACAGCTATTTCTCCTAGGTCTTGAGCACTATCCCAATTTTCTCAGGGTCCCCTAAAAGATGTCCCCAGACAATAGGAAGCAGTCTAGCAAACACAATGCCACATTCCCAAAAGATGGGATGAGTGTTTTTGGTCATTCAGTGGGTTATGGATGTTTGTCATTGTTGTAGGGGATTTGGTTACAAATTGTTGTTGGTTATAGTCAGAGAGAAAGCTAAACAAAGGAGGCTCAATTCAGGGATCTGTTTCTGAAGGGAAAAGGATGGTATATAGTATAGAAATGATAGGATAAAAGGGTAGATTATTGAGTCTATTTTTTTGAACAGCCACCTGTCTCAGTATTTTACATTGTTTTGTATATTGATACAAAGTCATGTTTCCAGATTCTGTCTCAGAACCAAAACAAACAAAATGAGTAGCCTTGCAACACAGGATGTCAATTTTGTTTTCTCCTGAGACAGGAGCCATTGCTCAGTGAAACTAGATTCATGAATGACACCATGATCTGCATTTCTATAACTTAAAGAGGACACCATTACATCTGGGCAGTTTGGGACTAAAGCTGGAACTTTGCCACTTCATGAAGATGGTTTCTCTGCTCTTCCCTCACTTGAAAAGAATGTCTCAAACCAGGTCTTGGGGAGCCAGGACGAGTCCGAGAGCATCTCTGACCTTAAGGAGCAAATGATCAGCAGAAAGTAAAAGACTAGAACCCAGAAATGACATCCGCTCCATTCACCAAGGGCTGTAGGCAGGAAACAGAGGTGAGGGGGATTGGCACGGAACAGAATCACGGTGAACTGAGGTAGGTAGTTCCTGAATACGCAGGGAAGTTGCTGGTGAGAGAAAGAACAAGATCTGGGGGTCCTACTAATATTTCCAGACATCTCCTTGATGCCATTCTTTTGTCTTATGCTGTGAATCAGGTTGCTTGGAAGAGGAGCAATGGTCACCCTTCTCCATGGTGGGAAGAGCTCAGCAAGTGCAGAGGTAATAATCAGGACTCTCTCTCCCGGTGGCCCACACCTCACTGCTCCTCTAGTTCAAGGCACAGGACACATGTAATCTTTTTGGCATTTATTCTACAATGAAGTCCAAAGAAAGCCACGGTTTCAAGACAAATCAACAATTGGTTTCTCTGTCTTGGGCAGATCCCATACCACCAACGCTACCATCGCCTAACCTCAGGTTGCTGATGGGGAGTTAGGACATGGAGTACTGGTGTGACCCTCCCACTTGACATCATGGACAAAGGGGATTGAGAAGTGGGTTCTTTCTGTATTACATGACAGTGTGAGTAGTCAGGCCCATGCATACCCCAAGAAAAGGGGCCAGAGGCAAAGCATGTCCTAGGTGTTCACAACCTCCCCCGGTTCCATGGATTCTCCCAACAGGCCATGATGCTCAGAGCCTTGGGAAGTTGCCTAACTTAACAAGTGACTGCCAGCACCTTTGCATCCCTGTTCCCTGGCAGAATTCTTTGGCTCTTTCCTCTGGACTTTACTGGTCTTGAGCAGTGTGAAAGCAGAACCATTTTAATGAATATGGTGAACAATGTGTCCTGTGCCATTCCCTCCCTCCATCCTCCCTACTTCCCCAATTTTGCATGAAGGTGCAGATTTCATAGGGCCTGGGCAGGCTTCACAGATGACCAGTAGAAGATAGCATCTATCAGGAAGGTGGGCAGGTAGCTCAGGGGGAGGTAGAAGAGCTTGGCATCCCAGCCAGCTGAGTACCGGGTGCGAGGGTGACAGGAAGTCAGTGCGTGCTCCATGCAGTCCGTCACCAAAGTAAGGTCATCTGAGCCTGATTCCACCATTGAGTTCATTGTTTGCAACACTGGAGAGAACAAGAAATTATTCCAGGAGACTCCACATCCCACCTATCAGTTGGCTGCTCTGAGGCCAACTGAAGAAATTTTCTCTAGATCCTATGCCTCCCACACTCAGAAGCCATGCCTAAGCCTGGTCTGTCCCGGGTCCTCAGGAACCGTGCACACTCAGCTACCGGTGTCCCTATTCAGAGAACCCTCTGGCTGAATAGCTGGAAGGTCTCTCCCAACACTGAAAACAAACCCAGGATTATGGAGAGTGGTGGTCTATGCTGCCTCCCATGCCCAGCTTCATTTTTGCCTTCAGATAATGAAGGGTTCACATAAAAGCAAAGCCCCAAGTTCTTGCAGCCAGAATCCCATAGGCTCCCAAGGAATTGGGAATAAACATCTCCACTGTGAGAAAAAAACATCCCTGGTCAGGGCTTGTGACAGTGGCAGAAGGTGCAGGACACTTGGGATGTAGAACAAGGCTTAGCTTTGGTGTTCCTATAGGTCACTCACAGGATAGCAAAAACGTCTCGCCATAGATCTCTTTGACCTCTGAGCTGGCCTGGTCCCACAGCATCTTGACACTTGATGGTACCCTGCCATTCCTGGTCATATCAGTCTTAAAGCTTCCAGGCTCTATGATAGCCACCTTCACTCCAAAATAGGAGAGCTCCCTCCTGCAAGACAGCAGGCAAAGGTCAAAGAATTTAGAAATCATACATCCGGCAATACAATATACCAACAAGAGCCTGTGGTGAGAAAAGGCCAGAAGTTTTGGATCTGGCATGTACGGCAGTTGCGGACACAACTATTAGCAAGGACTATTGTCTCTGTGCTTTTCAACGTCACTCCAAATATTTCGTGTGTGCAGTTCACCACTTTAAGCCTAGATATTTCTGTCCTATGACACCGAGTAGGACTTCTATCCATATAGGGCACACACAATGTCTCACCAGGCTTGCCTAAATCAGCTCCCTCTCACTCCTGAGTCCCAGCTTCACCTTCTACTGGCTCAGGGAATCTCAGGCCAGTTCCTGCCTGGCTCCTTCAGTCTTCAGGGAGCTGTTCTGTGTAAGCAGCTGTAGCACTTCAACTTGAAATCTTTTTGCCCTGCATCTAGCAGGAAATCTAACCCAGTTTGCTACAGTGATGAAACAGCTTCAGGTGGTTGGCCATGCTACAGCATGATGTATCTGTATCTGTGTATGTATCCCTACCTCTGTATCTGTATCTATATATCTGTATCTCTGTATCTGTATCTATCTATCTGTATCCATATCTCTGTTTCTGTATCTGTATCTCTGTTTCTGTATCTGTATCTCTGTTTCTGTATCTGTATCTCTGTTTCTGTATCTGTATCTGTTTCTATCTGTATCTTTATCTGTCTAGAATTCTCACACTCTCCAAAAGCTACCCTGTGACAGTCTTCCCAGGCCCACTACTGCCAGGGCTGATATGCCCTTTGCTCCAGGATGACACAGCACTAACTGGATGTGTTTACAATCACACTGGGCCTGGTTGTTAACATTTTCTTACCCAGGAAGCCCATGTAACCAGGCTGTCTTCTTGTCATGTTCAGCCCTTACCTCAGACCCATGCTGCAGGCCATCCACAAATCCAATGACTAATGTGGTCACTACTGCTAAAAATCTCTCAGCCTTGGTCATGTTCTCTCTCTCTCTCTCTCTCTCTCTCTCTCTCTCTCTCTCTCTCTCTCTCCCTCCCTCCTTTTGCTCTCTCCATTGCTAGGATTTTTGTTGTTGTTGGGCTGTTTATTTATTAGAGTCAAAACTGCATCATCATGCTAGAATATGAGAATTGTGGACTTTGACAAGAGCTTGATAAGCACAAGTTGAATTAAATATGATGTTCAACCCACCTCTAGGGCAGTCCCAACCTGAGCATGCAAGAGGGTGAGGATATGTACTCTTGGCCATGTCTTGGCCACCTCAGATACTTCCCTTCTGTGCCCAGGGCAGGCAAGGATAAGTGAACCTGGGCCTTGATCATCTACCAGGGGTATGGAGAGAGGCATCCCAAAAATGACCACCTTACTCCAGAGAGAAGATGGTAAGAGCATCCCCCAAACATGAAAGAAAATGCTTCAAAGGTTGTGATTAAATAAAACACCTGCCAAAGGTTCCCAAAAGGACTCCATAACTCTCCATTACCTGAGGGAGTCCGAGAAAGCCTCTACACCATACTTGGAGATGCAGTAGCCACCACCAAAGCAAGACACTCGACCCATGGTGCTAGAGACGTTGACCACACGGCCCCTTGCCTTCCTCACTGAGGGCAGCATGTTCAGAGTCACCTCGATCATGCCCAACAGGTTCACATCCAGGACTTTTGCAAAGTCCTGCTTGTTCAGCCACTCAGTGGGACCGAAGGGAACAGAGATGCCAGCATTGTTGACCAGGCCCCAGAGTCCTGGGAAGAAGAAAGAGCCACATTACATAGGTCTAGTTATGAAAAAATTCACATTACACTGGGGAAGGCCATGTGGACAGGCATTGGATGGAGAGTAGAATACAAGTAACAGCATGGTGGTTTGGGGCTGGGGCTACCCATCCCAGAAGGCATGGATTGCTGCATGGACACCTTCTTCTTTTGATTGTTGACAGTCTAGCTCATTACCTGAGAAGCAACAACCAGCCATATGATACCTTCCTTAATCTGGACACATGGAAACTCTGTTTGCATCTTACAGGTTAATAATACCTTGCAGGTCAGGGAGCAGAGGAAAAAGAAAAAACAGAAAGGGAAGAAAAGGCAAGAGGCAAAGCTACTATCCTAATGGAATTTGAGAAACATAAACTGTAAGGCCTGGCTGGAGGAGATTTGGGGAAACCATACTGCATTTGTGTTTTGAAGAAAGCCAGCTTTGGAAGATCCAGCATCCACACTGAATGACTTGTCAGACTTGGTGTGTCCTATTTTATTTTTATTTATTTAGGTTTTTCGACACAGGGTTTCTCTGTGTAGTTTTAGAGCTTGACCTGGAACTCACTCTGTAGACCAGGCTGGCCTCGAACACTCAAGAGATCCACCTGCCTCTGCCTCCCGAGTGCTGGGATTAAAGGTGTGTGCACCACTAACACCCAGCTGGTGTGTTCTATTTTAAAAAGAAGATGTCAGGTTGTGGAGGAGGTTAAGGAGGAAGGATGAGGGAGGAACAAAGGGCAAGAGCGAGGAATTGGGCGGACATAATACAAACATGTAGCATTAATGTATGAAATTAACAAAGAATAAATAAAAGTCTTAAAAACATATTGAGCAACTTTCCCGGGATGCTTGCGACAGAAGGCCAGTGTGAAAGAGGAGGTAACACTTGCTGCCGACCTTCTGCCCCAGAAAACGGTGCCCTCTCTCCATGCTCACTTGCAGGCCACCCTCACTCACCCTTTCCCAGCCCCGGGGGGCGGGTTTCCGGGCAACCACCCTGCAAGCTCTGCCATCAGCGAAGTCATGAAACAGCACGTTGACATCGCTGAGCTCCTTGCATGGGGAACTGGGGCCCAGCTCATGTGAGACAATCATGCCATTTTTCCTTGATCAGGCTCAGTAAATCAGATGCCCCCTATTCAAAACAATGCCTTGCCTTTCTGGGTACGAGTATGGTTTATTCAAGGTATTCTATTTCATCGGTCACAACATATTTATGCTTGCTGATAATTAAAATAAATGAGTTTTCCAAGACAGTGCTTATGTCTCACACACACACACACACACACACACACTATATATATATATATATATATATATATATATATATATACACACACACACACACATACATACATGTTTGTATGTATGTATGTAACAAGCTGGGCATGATGGCACATGCAAGCAAGACCCTTTTAGAAATGATAATAATAGTTAATAATAAGAAGAAAAAAAACATTTTTGTGCCAGAAACACCTGTATTTAGTCCCAAGATACATATAAATTTTAGAGATTTGTTAAAGGCTGGTCCCAAGTCACTGAATACCATTATTTGAAGTACTGTTCTTGAGGTAGTTATTATTTTTTATGAAAAGAATTCACATGTTTTAATCCTGCGTAGGGAAAAAACGTATCCATGGGTTACGTGTGAGGGGCCTGGGAATATAGGTTATTTTTATTTTGACTGTAATTCCCCAGAGTTTTGAACAATATCCTATTTCTAATTTACTCTTAGATTTCTTTAAACCACTCTCCTTTTCTGGCTATTACTATGGTAAAAGAAGAGCGGCCAGGAGCAGTGGTGCACACCTTGAATCCCAGGAGTTGAGAGACACAGGCAGGGAGATCTCTGTGAGTTTGAGACAGCCTGGTCTATAGATTGAGTTCCAGAACAGCCAGGGATACACAGAGAAACTCTGTCTCAAAAACAACAACATCAACAAAGGCAAACCTACTTCTTAGTATGTAGGTCCCCGAGTCGGACCTAAATCTTGTCGCTGCCTGCTCTACACAGGAACCATCTTGTCTCCCTCCAGAGAGGACGGCACATGACAAGTAAGAGCAATTACAGTGCTGATACAGGAGGTCCACTCCGCACGGCCCCAGATACTCTCTCTGCGCACAGAGCCCAGGGACAAGTCCCACCCTCTGCTCCAGAAAGGGGCCCTGTCTAAGGTGGCACCAGCATCCAGCAGTCTGGGTTTTCTCCACAGAAATGATGGCAGCGCAGACAGGAGCCTGAGAAAGTGGACCCTCACCAGGGCACCAGGGAGCTTGGGAGACAGCACATGGGGGAGAGAGAGAACGCACTCAGGTGATGGGTCGGGGAGGGCAGGAGGCTGCGGCTACTTCAAGTGCCCCACGCCCCTTCAGGACTCCTGCCAGGGACTGTGAAGGAGAGACCCTTTAAAGCAGAGAATCAAACCAACAGACAGACACAGGAATCTCAATGGTACCTCTGTTCCCGACTCGTTCCTTCACCCACTGAGTGGCTGCCACAATACTCTCTGTCTTGGTGACATCAAGGATCACTGTCTCCAGCCTGTCTGATGTCCTGTTCCTCAGCTCCTCGGCTCCCTTCTCTGTCAGACATGCAGCCAGCACCCTCATGCCTCTCCTGTCCAGCTGTCTGGCCAGCAGGTTTCCAAAGCCCGAGTCGCAGCCCGTGATGAAGACATACTTGTCTTGGAGATGGCTCACCACCTGCCTCTCCCTGAACAAGCGCAGGAGGTTCCACAGGCCCACTAGAGCCACCAGATAGAGCCACATGCCTTTGATAAGGACAGACACAGACAATCTGTGCCAAGGTGAGCCTGGCCTCTATTCACAGAGCATGCAGAAGATAATGAGCAATCGGGAGACACAGCAGAATGCAGGCTTCTAGCAGGGAGTCCACACTTTGTCTCTGTCCACTGCCTGTGTTTGTATTTATTTCTACCTCACCTCTCTGTTCCCTCACCTGATTTGTCATCTGATTTATAATGGCCTTTGGCCTGCCCTTACTTGCTGCCAAGAAATCACCACTGTCTATTCAGTAATCCATTTTTGTTCTATTATGATCTTTGCTTCTACTCACATGGGAATACATGCATGTTTCCTTACACATGCCACACTGCAGTCAACCCAGAACTTTGTGAACACAGTTAGGTGCTGGTGCCAACCTGCACTTGGACTCAGGACACATTCACAAGGAAATCTGCTCTGCGCTCAGGGTTCCTCCTCAGGTTCCTCAGCCAGATGTTCTCCTCAGAAATCTCTTTGTCTCTAGAACTCCAGGGCAGCTGAAGAAGAAACAGGGCAGGCTGGTGTCTTCCTGGCCCAGTAGCTGTCTGGAAGGAATGAAGTTCCAAATACAAACAGAAGTCTGACCCCAAGGCACACAAGGTGATGGTGGCTGGGACCCCAGACACACAATGACTCCCAGAGTCGGTGTGGAGGAAGAAATGACACACATTCTCAAGATGCCATCCTTGCTAGTTTTGTGGTTGTTATTGGTTACCTTATTAGTTTTGGGGTTTGGGGTATCAAATGGGAAAGACCAAACCTGAGAGCATGCTTCCATCAGATTGCCCATAGGCAAGTCTGGGGAGGCATTTCCTCCATTGTTAATTGATGAAGGAAGGGTTACTCCCCCACGGGCAGGGTCACCCCTGGACAGGTGGTCCTGGGCAGGCTGAGTGAGCCAAGAGGAGCAAACCAGGAAGCAGCTTCACCCCATGCCCTCTGCTTCAGATCATGTGTCCAGGTTCTGGCCTTGAGTTCCTGTCCTGACTTCCCTTCTTGAAGCCTGTCCACTATAGGGTGAAATAAGCCCTTTCCTCCCCATGTTGCTCTCAGCCATGGTGTTTCAGCACAGCAATAGGAGGCTACTGAGGACAGACGCCCTTCTCTTGGTGCTACAGATTCAACTGGACATTAGTGTAGCAATTTTGCATCGCAACCACCATGAATGCCCCAGAGTAACGTGAACCAGGCAGGATTCCTTGCACAATCGCACAGAAACCCTACTTATGCAAAATGTCTAGAGATACTTGGAGCTTGGCATCTGCTTCCTGGCCCCAGGGACATGCTTGACTGACTCTCTGAATCCAGCTGAAATAAATAAACCAGGAACCTTCCAGGTACATACTCCTTACCCGAGATTTTCACCAATTTTGACTCAACTTAATGAATCAAATAGTGTTGTAGCTCTCAAAGATCAGATTTCTACACACGAAGTCCCCCAGTGCAGTGCATATGTTACACGGACTCCATCTATCTGCCTTTCTTTGTGAGATCTCATAGTACCACACATCTTGCCCTCATTCCCTGGGGCGCCATAGTTCTCAAAAGCAGGATGCAGGAGCCCATCATGTTGCCCTCTGTCCTCCATTTCTGTGGCTTCCTCTGTATGGTCATGTACACAGAACCAAGACTCCTCCATCACTAAGGGTCTGAATGCAGTGCCGTCTCAGGGGAACAAGGACCACAAAGCCAACGGGTTCCCCTGGAACTTTTCCAGACACAGGGGCCCCTAAGAGTACAGACCGCGTAGGTGCTGCCCAACGTGTGTTACATGTGTACTAAGGAGTCTCTCCCCTAGGGTCCCAACGGAGACCTAGAATCTGGATCCCATGGAACTGTCCACTGAGGACTCCACAGTGAAGTACAGGATGCCATGTCTCCCAGGAGGTGACCCAAGAAGGACAGGGAGCTAGGAGAGCTGGGAGAGACAGAAAAGCCTAAGACCCGGGACCCAGCATGCAAACACCTCTGTGAGCTCTGTGAAGGGAAAGTCATGCCATAAAAGGAGGCAGGCTTTGTACAGCAGCTCAAGTGTGTGTGAGTGACAAGTGTGGGGTAGACCGCAGCTGCACCCTAAGGACTAAGCTTTGCTTACCAGCGGGGGGGGGGGGGGACTGTGACCTGTGCTGGGCCACTCTTCCTTCAAGGTGGGTGGGCATCTGCTCCCACCCCTGTTCCCCTCCTCACCTGCCCCTGCCCCACCCACCTCCCCCTGCACCTGGTTGTGCAAGGGTTCCCCCCACCCCCCATAAGCAGAGGTGTTTGCATGCTGGGTCCCGGGTCTCCAGAATGTTTGGGAAGGATGGGGGTGGGGTCCTGTTGGAGGAGGTGTGTCACTGGGGGCTGGCTATGAGGTTAGGAAGCTTCCCTCCTCCGGTTAGCCTTGTCCCCTGCTTCTCTGACATGTGAGCTCCCAGGCTGCTCCAGCGGCCAGCCTCCAGGCCTTTCCTCCGCCATCATGGACTCATTGGAACATAAACCCATTTAAATGCTGCCTTTTGAAAGGGATCTTCTTCATGGAGCTTAATCAGAGCATAGAAAAGTAACTTCTACACACCCTACACTTGTACTCGTGTTCCTGTGTCCCCCTTTACCCCTGCTCCAGAGCAACAGGGACCAAGGGACTCTAAATGATCTCAGCAACCAAGGGGACCTCAAAACCCTAGAGTGCTCTGCACCTTACAAAGTGAACACGGGGGGGGGTCCTTAACAAAGAGAGACAGAAGGTACATTTTCCTCCAGAGAACCCATGTCCTGTCAAGGGTGAACTCTCTAGGTTCATCCATTCATGTCAAACCCATTCCTCACAACTACAGCTCCTTCCTTCCTAGACCTGACAGGAATATGCGCTCCAGTTCCTGTCAAGGGCTTCTAGAACAGAGCAGATCTAGACTAGTCCCTGGAATTTCCAGATGAAGTAGTGAGAATGGGGGTCTGCATGGGACAGCCTCACCTGGAGCCTCAGGGCTGAAGAGAAATCCTCAGAGACACCTGCCCATCCCCAGGGTGTGATCGTGAATTCATCACACTATGGGGAGCTTCCTTCTATTCACACTTGCTCAGTCACACCATGATGCCCTAGAGCCACTGACCACACTTAGGACCGGACATATGTCCTAGGTGCCAGTCCTGCCCCCTCCCCTAGAGGAGCCCAGCATGGAGGGCAACAGCTTGTAGCCTCATCCATCCCTGATGCTGCAGAGCAAACTTCTCAGATGGGTTCAGTCCTCCTGATCCGTTTCCTCCCAGTGGACAAAGTGGAGAAATACCACTGGTTCTTCTCAACTGTGACAGTGAGTGGAGAGTGTGCATGTGTGAGTGTGCGTGAGTGTGCATGAGTGTGCGTGAGAGTGAGTGTGCGTGAGTGTGCAAGTGTGTGAGAGTGTGAGTGTGTGCGTGAGTGTGCGAGTGTGCATGAGTGTGCGAGTGTGCGTGAGTGTGTGAGTGTGTGTGAGTGTGCGAGTGTGTGTGAGTGTGTGAGAGTGTGCTTGAGTGTGTGCATGAGTGTGTGAGTGAGTGTGTGAGTGTGTGTGTGTGCATGTGTGAGTGTCTATGAGTGTGGTGAGTGTGTGTGAGTGTGCATGAGCGTGAGTGTGCATGTGTGCATGTGTGAGTGTCTGTGAGTGTGGTGAGTATGTGTGAGTGTGCATGAGCATGAGTGTGCGTGTGTGCATGTGTTTTGTGGGTGTGTGTGTGAGTGTGTGAGTGTGTGAGTATGCCTGAGTGTGTACATGAGTGTGTGAGTGTGTTTGAGTGGGCGTGAGTGTGTGTGAGTGTCTGTAAGTGTGCGTGAGAGTGTGTAAGTGTCTGTGAGTGTGTGAGTGTGTTTGAGTGGGCGTGAGTATGCGTGAGTGTGTGTGAGTGTGTATGTGTGAGTGTGTGACTGTGTGCATGTGCATGTTGTTTCTTCTGGGTGCAGACAGACTGAGTCCAGAGGCTCACATTTAGGCTTGCCCTCACTCACAGTCATCCTCCTGGTTTGCCTTTGCAGAATGCTGACATTGCAGGAGTGGCCCACCCTGCCCTGGTCTTGCTCAGCTTTCCAAGACAACATGGGCTGACCTGGATGGACCACACAGGAGTTCATTCAACAGGAGCATTTGGAGACTCTAGACTCCTTTCCGCCTTTTCCTCTTCCTGTCCCTTCACTGTTCCGAGACTGCAACCAACACTCACTGTGAGTTTTCTGTTGACTTTCTTGAACTACTGCATGCTAGTCTATCATCATGTGTAATATTAGTGTCTGTAGGTAGCCATCGAAAAGAAAATAACAGAACAGCATAGCATGGTGGCATGCCCATGTGATCCAAGCTGTGGAGACATGGACACGCTACAGAGCAGGAGGAAGCCCTGGGCGGGTGAAGTCCTGTGTGTGTGCTGCTGACATGGGCACTGCCATGACATGGACCAAGGGCTCTGACCAGGGGATAATAGGCAAAGCCTTTCCCCATGTGGGTCAGGCCCTGACTCGGCCATGCCTTCCTCCTCTGCTCCAAGATTGGTGTTTATGGATGAGGGATCAGTCCTGAGAAAGCCAGCAACTGCAGCTTCCTGGAGGTGCTAGGCTGGGTTGCTGCCTTCAGACATCCCGCAGAGAACAGCCAACCCCTCCAGGATGCTGTCTGTCCATAACAAACACGCTGAGGGCCCAGGTTGCAGAGGAAGGAAGTAACTGAGGCTCCATCGCAGCACACGCAACCACCGGCTGCCAGCTCAGTACATGTGTCTCTGTGCCTGTCCCTTCTTCATTCCCCCACTGTCCCCAAAGTCCCTTTGGGTTTCAGACCTATGCAAGATGACTTGCTGTAGAAAAACTAGGTATTCATACCATGGTGAACCTGTGTGACATAGTGATATTCTGTGTAAACTAACGAAAAGATTAACTAACAATACAAAGAGGTTAGACACGGGGACTGCTGGTGATAGCACTTGCATCTCTACCAGAGGACAAATTTTACTCCCAACACCACGGCTAAGTAACTCACAAATGCTGGGAATTCCGTCTCCAGGGGATGCAATGATCTGCACTCTGTGGGTACTCCAACACACATGGA